ACACGCTGCATTTCGCACCGATGCGTTACCCAGACAACACTGCGTCTCTCTCTTTTCGTGACGGAGGGACGCCGGACGTGCTTAAACGCGCATGCATCAGAGCAACGCAACGTGGCACGCGCCTGCAAGTATATGGCAGGACCGGCGCCTGGCGTCGCAACGCCAGCGTGGCGCTTTGAAAGGAACGCAGGCGAGCCCACGCACCGTGTCACGTGGAAATGTCTTGGCGCCTTCACAGTGGCATGTAGTCACGTTATCACATGACACAAATCTAATAATTATTATGTCTGCACCAGTCACATACCTTCATCATTCATTGACGTCACGTAATACCAAATGTTGATTGTGTGAAGCTAGAAAAACGGCCGTGAGCGCATCATGAGTGTGGAATGTAGTCATGTTGTTAGATGACACGCATATCGTGATTATCATGTTTGTATGTGTCATTAACGCATGTCGTCCGTTCGCGTCGCGTAACACCAAGTTTGGTACACGTGAAGCTAGCGAAACTGCCGCGAGCGCATCACGAGCGTAGCGTGTAGTCATGTTGGTACATGACACGCATCCAATGTTTTTGGTATAAGTGAAGCTAGCGAAACGGCCGCCAGCGCATCATGAGCGTAGCATGTAGTCGTGTTGTTACATGGCACGCATCTTATGATTATCATGTTTGCATCCGTCACATACCTTCGTCATTCATTCACGTACCGTGAATTGGTATATGTTAAACTGTTCTGCACTCGACTCGCAGAACAGTTTGGCACGAAACAGCGTGCAGTCACGTCTGGACGAACTAGAAGACAGGTCTAGGCGGCACAATTTATTCGTGTATATTATTCCTGATTCTCGGGAAACATGGGACCAAACCGAGCAAGAAGTTTCAGCAGCTTTATCAACTGTCCTTCACAATGAACTCTTTTGTGAGGCAATAGAACGCACGCATCGTATATGTGCTTACTCTGCATTCAAGTGTCGGCCTATAGTTTATAGTTATTAGGTTTTCTTCGTAGAAAACAAAATACAACATATTATCTCCGAAATCACAACTGCGGTCTCGCAACGTACCTGTATTCGAAATTTTCTCGCCGAGTACTCCCCTGTCAAGAAAATATTTGCGGGAATTGGAAAAAGTTTTACCCAGTGTCCTCGTTTTCGATTACGATAGAATAAGCTGTTTGTGGACAGGACATACTATGTGTATGATGCCGATATGAATGGTGTGAAAGTTATCAACCGACCTGCTAACAACGGTCTGTTACATGATGCATCAGCTGCTACATCTTTATGTTTCGCTCAAGATATAAATCCCGCTTTATCATAGGGTTCTGCGGGGGGGGGGGCGTGATGTATTCTCACTTCATCACAGTGCGCCCTTATTGTTGTCAAATGCTAGAAGCGTAATTAACAAGCGCGATTCATTACATTCCTTATTAGATACTGCTCGCTCTGACATTATCGCCCTAACAGGAAACCTGGCTCAACAATGAAGTGCGCGAAGATGAGATATTTATTGATTCATGTCGGTTTTCTATTTATCGCCATGATCACATTGACCGTCATGAAGGAGGTGTTCTACTTGCCATATCCAACACTTTCAAATCATTCCCAATCAATGTTGAGACAGAAATAGAAACCGTCTGGGCATGCGTTGTATTCGGGTATCAGAAAATAATTGTAGGTGTTTGCTATCAACCACTCAATAATTCCCCTACCTTTATTTCAGACTTACACGATGTTCTCGGTTGCATTGTGACACAGTATCCTTCACCACCGATACTAGTACTGGGTGACTGTACCTCCGCGAACATATCATGGACTCTTGATCCACCTGCATTGTCACCATATTTCTCGCAAAGTAAAAAATTTCCGGACTTGTGTTCTTTTTTTCTCATCTTAACTTGCCCTTCAGCCTACTCGCATAACTAATGAGAGTGCAAATAAACTAGACCTTATTCTTTCTACTCAATCTGATCTTTCTCTGATTGGTCTTACTTGCCTAGATTAAGTGATCATTAGGCTATTTCATTTGCTTTTTTTGTCCCCACTAAGCAAAAAAATAAAACTAACAAAGCGCATTAGGAAGGTTAACAGAGCTAATTTCGATGCGATTAACGCCGAGACGATCCATTATTTCAACTTTTTCACGATTGGTTTTGAAAACGGAAGCGTAATGTCAAAATGAAACCCTTTTCTGAGTAAAATACATAAACTAACGGAGAAGCATACTACACTGCATAAAATTTTATGTCGTTCTGGCTCGCAATGGTACACCAGTCATCTAAAAAGATTGTCTAATAAAAAAGCGACTCTATCACCTTGCAAAGAATTCGTCATTGAGCAATCGGTGCAACAATTATCAAGCAGCAAATATCGCCTATGTAATGGTCCTCAAACAACCGAAAGCTAACTTCCAGTAACATATTTTACCATCCATTTTAACCGACAACCCAAAAAAGTTTTGGCGCGTCAATAATTCTAATCACAACAGCATGTTGCATTTAATTGATAAAAATGACATGTCTATTGCCGAATCGGATTGCGCTGAAATATTGAGCAACGTTTGCTGCAACAACTTTACACGGTATACTGACGTGGCAACTACTCATCAACCAAGTTACAACTACTTAATCATGGATCCTATTATTATTTCACCCTCTGGTATCTCTAAGCTTATTGATTCACTGAAGACAACATCATGCCCTAGCTCTGACTCAGTTAGTCCTAAATTTTAAAAGCACCAGTGCCATTTCGTCATTGTTTTTAGCACAGATTTTTCAGCAATTCATCGATAACGGTGCTCCCCCGCAGGACGGGCAGGTCGGGAATGTGGTTCCGATACACAAGTCAGGTAGTAAAATTTCACCCTTAAACTACCGCCTCATATCATTAACCAGTATTCCTTGAAAAATAATAAAGCAGATTATTTCCACTAATGTCACATAATTTTTGGAAACACATTCCTTTTTTTTTCAGACGCGCAACGTGGTTTCCTCAAAACTCGATCTTGCGAAACACAACTGTAATTCTTTATTCACCAACTTCAAGTTCCTTTAGATTGTAGGTCACTAACTGATTCTATTTTTCTCGACTTCTCTAAGACTTTCGACAAAATAAGTGAAAAAAAAAACTGCTCTTAAAGCTCAAACAACTAAACCTTGATAATAACGTCATCAGACCGATAGAACATTTTCTATTTAACCGCACGCAGTTTGTAATTGCAAACTGGTGTTATTTTTCATCTCGTGCTGTTCACTCTGGAGTACCCAAGGGTTCGGTCTTAGGACCCCTTTTAATTCTAGTTTACATTATGATTTGCCTTCATGTATTTGTTCTAACATAAAACTGTTTGCAGATGACTGCGTTGTGCTCCGCGAAATTAACATGCTAAATTACATCACTGCCCTTCAAAATTACATCGACTCGATTTTTAACTGGTGCACGACTTGGCAAATGGAACTAAATATTTACAAATGCAAGGTATTGCGCATTTTCTGAACATCATCTTCTGCTACTACTTACTCACTTAACAGCATCCCACTCGAATCTATCATCTCTTACCATTACCTAGGCGTACACATCACCACTTATTTAAGCTGGTCACTCCATTTCCGCTACATTGATAATACTGCAAACCGCACGCTTAGGTACATTAGTCGTAACTTCTTTTCCTCACCTGTCTCACCTAAAATACTATAGTACAAGACGCTGATTCGTAGCAAGATAGAACACGCCACTGCATATGGTATCCGAGTTCAATTAATTTAATCAATGCTCTTGAGCTTATCCGGAACAATTCTGTTCGCTTAATTCTTCACAACAACAGTCGTCACTCTAGCATTTTTGCCATGAAAAGTTCACTCTAACTACCCTCTCTTGCCTCTCGTCGTATGCTCTTCACCTCTGTCTATTTCACAAAATTTATCATTTTACTCTAACTCTTGGCAAGGAACATAATTTTCAGCTTTCTTACGTGTCATATATAATTGATCATACCAATAAAGTTGACGTCTTGTCATGTCTAACCAAAACATGCAGTGATTAATTTATTACCCAAACATCAGTGGACTGGAACTACTTAGCCGGATATGTGTCCATCTTGACTGATAATCACTTGTTTCGTTCTGCGCTAACTAACATTGTATAAACGCCCACACTTACCTACTTGTTCCCTTTGTGCACAACGCCTATATTTTGTTCTTTTCCATTTGTTTTTATTTAATTTATAAACAGCTAACATTGAGTAAAAAACATGTTTCACCCCCTCCACATTGCCTTTGTCCCGTTGGGTATTACGAAATAAATAAATAAATACAGAAATAAATAAATAGGTATGTGACGCTAACGAAATAGCCGCGAGCGCATCATGAGCTTGGCATGTAATGTTGTTACATGACACGCAGCTGAACAGCCATCGAACGCCCCAGGCGTGCTTCTTTAGAAGTGGTGCGGCCATGTCTGCGTTTTCCCCGGTAACCTTTCCCTCTACCTAAGTTTTTCATCGCAATCGGCCCGTGAAGTTAGCAGCTGGCTTTTGTTTTGTGAAGCTAAAGCTTCGCTGCTTAGGTTATTTTTTAGTGGTGCCTTATATTTCATAGTGAGAACACATTCACGCTATTGGTGTTTTCAATTTATACTATTTACACAGAGAGCCTGTACCTCTCTCAGAATGTACTCTTTTCTCCACGGAGGTTGAAATATCACGTCTGCTTTGAAAACCACCTATGTGTTTCACGTCTATACTCACTTTGCGTACCTTCATTCTGCTTGAGAAATGTACTATAATACTGGCACCGGCGCTTCTTCAATCGATGTTGTTTCGTGAGCTATGAGCGCTTGATTGCACCACCACACACATATGTATAATCACATTCTGTAGTAGTCGCAGTAATTTTGTTGCTCTATAAATAGCTAAAAGATACGTTGTTCATTATGTCACTTTTAAGATAAACTACGCAGTCAAAGGTTCTGCGTATCTAAGTCAAGGAAAGTTGAGTACTTACGAATACAAGATCTCCACCTTGTTTGTCTGCAGGAGCAAGGTTCAGCTTTTTCTGTGAGGAAGCAATTACAAAGTTCGCGTCAAGCAAGTTTCTTCTACGCACGCACTATAATTTCAGTAAAGTAGTTTTGAACATTGGTAGACTTGCCACACAATGCGTAGGCAAGAACCATTCAGGCGTAGGAGCACTTATGTGTGCTTATCACACTTATGTGCCTGTCACTTGCAGTCTGAAACTAGAGCACCGTAAGTTATGCATGTGTGTTGCCTGCAGGAAAGGAAGAGGGGGCCGTGGTTTACTGCCAATGCCCCGTGCAAGCTATTTTCGCTATTTTAATTCCACGCTATTCTTGTTGCAAGCTTCGGCACCTACTATGGGCAAACAGCTAAAAAATAATTCACAAACTTAGAAGACTTCTCAACTTTGCCTACAAGCGTAATACGTGGAAGCTCACTTTCAGCGAAATGAGCTTTCTAACACCCTCAGATCATTATCGAACATAAACTGCGATAATGCTTTCGAGGAATGCAGGTTGGCCGTAAACAAATATTGATGTAAATAAACATGGTACAGCAGAAAAATGATTCTCTATTTGAAGATGTAGAATGCGAGGGATAAAATGCTCTTATATGTATTAAAACAGCTTACATCAAAACATTTTCTGGTGTATAAGCATCACATATTATTCTGGGGTGGCCACAGAAAAGCATGTATTTAATATATTTACGCAGTCACCGCAACTTGAGTTAAAGAACCCTAAACGGCGAGAACAGGATCCACCCACTCCTTGCTTCATCGTCTTCTAGGTATGCGGCAGATAACGTTCCCCTCCGGCGGTGACAGCACCGACTCGGTGCAGTCAGACAAAGATAGTAATGTGAATGTTCATTATATACATGCGTTGGTGCAGTCCGGAGCAAGAGAATGCTTCAGGCGGCCAACGTGAACAATGTCAGAGCGAGATTGAGTCATCGAGGATAAAGACATGAATTTCATACTTGACGCCGGTCACAAAACAGCGCACACGGTATGGTCTGGTGTACGGCGACAGTAGGTTTTCAGGAAGTCCAAGACGGCGTGCTATATCTCACACGAAAACAAGAGATCCAAGAATAAAGTGTTCGTTTCTATGACGGTCGCCATATTGAGATTGTTGGCCCGCTTGTGATTTGGTTAGATAAACACGGGATAGTTGACGTGCCTGCTCAGGGAAGGATATGTTCTTAGGCGTACTCAGTAAGCGGCTATGTCGAAGGATGCATCATTACGTCTAATAAAAACGTTTCATTTTGTCCGAATAAAATAATTGCGAGTTATAAGCCGTTTCCCACTGGGACGTATTATAGACAAACGCAACTTATAGAAACGCTGCATCACAATTCTATTGGTTGGTGGAAACGTGAATTGCTGGCATGTCAGTATTGGTTCAGTTCATCGGCTCCGAAAGGAGATTCGTCTGCGTAAGGTAAGCCGTGGTAATTCATGTTTGGTGGAGCAACACATTACACTATGAGTGGTGACCCTATAAAGAAACTGCCTGCCTTGCTTCGTTAGGAGCCGAAGATGTGTTGTATGCTGAAAGATGATGTTTGGGAGCAAGAAGTCCGCTACGTCGGTCGTGCTACTGGTTCGACACATGCAGGTAATTACAAACTGAGTCCCGCGGCAATAGCTATCTATCAGTTTTCTGAGACTGACGTAGGTAACTGATCAACAAAGTAGAAGTCAGCCAGATATAATGGCTCATTGGGGACTTTGAGTGACTTTGGCAGCAGCAGTAACTTCAATTTCAGTGTATGTTAAAGAAAGCCAGATGGTCGAAATTTCTGGAACCTTGTTCTTCGTTACCCCTTATAATCACGTCGTGGCTTTGGGTCGTAACACGCGAACTATTAGTATAAACACTGTTTTCATTATCCTCCATGGCATCGTGTTTTATGTTACAAAGCTGTTTCTTACAATGTTGTATTGCTGACTCTTGTGGTAAAGAAAATATTATATGGGAATTTTTTTGTTTTCTTATCAGTGTATTGCACAATATACTGTGTCTTAGGTGCGCCTATGTATAGTGAGGAAAACCATCCCTCTTTTTTCGTTTGTGGTGGGAGGGGGCGTGTGTGTTATGGATTGTATATTATCAGCAGTTGTGTGCAATGTACTAATACCACCGTAAAATAACGTTGCCTTGTTTTTAGGATCTACTATCCTGCAAGGACTTACTATTCGTTCTCTAAAACCGTTTACAAGAACATTAAATAATAAAATTAAGGCGACATCGAAGATAAATCAACCAACGTACCAAGCAGGATTTTGTACAGGCTACTTTACAATAGACCATACTCATACTACCAATCAGGTAATAGAGAAATCCACAGACTACGATGAACCTCAGTACATAGCCTTTATGTACTGCAAGAAGGCGTTTGCCTCAGTCGATACATAATGAGTGATACAAGCACTAGAACACCAGGGCATCCACGGAAGTAGGTAAGTTTATTTACAGTAAGGCAGAGAGGTCGGCCTGAGCGATAGCTTGCTCTAGCCTGCTACTCTACTCTGGGGGAAGGGAAAGGGGAAAAGAAAGAATAATGAATGACGATGGTGAGATAGAGAGGTGAGTATGTAGTGTTCTTTCTATCTGAGACACATTTCATAGCCGCGGACATAGTCCAGTTGTTTCCAAAAAGGTTATAACTGCTCTTGTGACCGCAGTTGCACTGTTGGTGTCTGGCCAAGGGCCCAACACGGTCTCATCATTTAATGACCTATTGCGATATAGTTCAGTAGAAGAAATCAGTGTTTTTCGTTCACGTGAGTATGCTGGGCAGACACAAAATATGTGCTCAAGTGTTTCTGGCACATCACACTGTTCACAATTAGGACCGGTGTCACTGCGACCGATGATATGTGCGTATCGTCTGGTGTACGCTACACCAAGACGAATGCGGTGGATCATACTTGTGAGTTGCCGTTTCAATTTAGGGGGCATGCGGAACCTCAATTCCGGGTCCCATTTGTGAAGTCGCTGGTGTCGCCGTTCCGGTTTGGTCCAGTGCTGAAGTGTGTAGCTGCGCATCACGCAGCGAAGCAGGGCGTTCGTGTCAGCTCGTGAAAACGCAATGCGTACTTCAGGGGCACTGCTTAAGGTATTTTTAGCTTCAGCGTCTGCCTCTTCGTTTCCCATCACGCCGCAATGAGCGGGAATCCACTGGAAAGTTATAAGATGACCATTTGTTGAAGCTTGTTGAAGCAACCTGAATAAGTTCTGTGATTTCTATTGCTAAGCTGTAATACGGACCTTGCTTCGTGATGCAATTAATGGTTTGCAAAGCGGGTTTGGCATCACAGAAAATCGTCCAGGTTCGAGGTTGCTCTCCGCAAATAAATCTTATTGCCTCCCGGATAGCGACAAGCTCTGCGGCAGTTGATGTGGTTTTATGGTCCACTTTGAATCGTCGAGCGATATCTATGTCTGGGATGACAAAGGCTGCGGCGTAGGTGTTTAGCGTGGTGGATCCGTCGGTGTACACGTGCAGAGAATCACTGTACGTTGTGTAAATGTGATATAGGATCAGCTGTCTGAGTCCAACAGAAGAAATGAGCGACTTCTTCGTGATTGCAGGTATCGTAAATGAAACAGATGGTTTAGGCAGGACCCATGGAGGCACTGCAGGGGCAGTTGGCGGAGAAAATCTTGATGGTATAATGTTTTCATGCCGGGATATTACTCTTGAGAAACTGCAATCTGGGTGAGTGGCGGGTAGTACTGACAGTGGGTGCTGTCTGTGTCTGCTCAGCAATCGGAGGTGAACTCTAAGTGGCTCGCAGAGTATGTATACACTTATGGGACAAGCCCGAGCCTCTGCGATTGTCCCATTTGTTGAAGTACAGCGCGGTAGACCCAAGCATCTTCGTAAGCATTGAACTTGAACACTTTCTAACGTCTTCACACAACTAGGTCTCATATTGGAGAGCACCGGCATGCTGTATCGAATGTATCCCACAAATTGAGCATTGTACAATCGAAGTAGCGATGATTCTGACGGGCCCCATCTTGCTCCTGCTAGGTGGCGAAGAACGAGAGCAAAGCTCTTCAATTTAGATTTAAGTACTGCGACATGCTTCGTCCACAATAGATCTCTGTGTACGACAACCCCAAGGAACTTCTGGTGCGTTACAGCAGGTATCGCTGTCCCATTAATGAATATCGGGTATTTTGACATATGCTTGCGCGTGAACGCAAGCACTGCGCATTTGTCGGTTGAAAGAGTGAGCCCCTGACGTCGTAGATATTTGTATGTGATCGTCACTGCACGCTGTAGTCGAGCTCGTAATTGCGTACGAGTAGTTCCGAATGCCCATATGCATATGTCATCAGCGTATGCACTGATCTTCACCGTGCTGGGAAGTTCTGCTGCTAGGCCGATCATTGTGACATTGAATAGGATCGGGCTGAGAACTCCTCCTTGGGGGAACACCACGATGAACCTTATATTGATCGGTGTCTCCGTTATTTGTCGTCATGTAAATGGTGCGGTCCCTAAGGTAGCTAAAAATTCAAGCGTACAGTCGTCCACCGATGTCAAAATGTTCCAGTGCGTCAAGGATCGCATAATGCAGCACATTATCGTAGGCACCCTTGTCTAAGAAGACCGCCGCCACTAGTCTGCGTTGGCTTCTTTCCTCTTCAACGCTGGTGATCAAGTCGACCACACCATCAATGGCAGATCAGCCTCTTCTGAAGCCGTTCATAAATTGAGGAAAGAAGTTGTTCCTCTCTATAAGCCACTCTAATCTTGACAGTACCATTCTTTCCATCACTTTTCCGACGCAGCTGGCTAAGGCGATTGGTCTGTAGGAGGAAAGTGCATAAGGACACTTCCCCGGCTTAAGCAATGCAATAATGCGACTGCATTTCTAATGAGTTGGGACTTCTCCTGACTCCCATGAGGTGTTATAATGAGATAACAGGATACGTCGTGCTTCTGTATCAAGATGGTTGAGTGCAGCATACGTGATTCCGTCAGGTCCTGGT